CACCCCCATTTGGAGCCCCCAACACTCCCCCCACCCCGCGATGAGGAAGCTGCAAAATTAGGTCAAAGCGTCCATTATTTAACAGAAACGGAGGAGCTGGGGCCAGCAGCTGAGGCTGGGGCCGGAGCCCAGAAGGGGCTGGGGAGGACAGGGCTGGGTCCCCACAGCCCGGGGGCAGGCAGGGATTGGGGGAACAGGGGTGAAACACGGGGGACAGGAGCCAAAGCTGAACCAAAATGACTTTATTTCACGACAGGAAACAAAACGATCCCCCCTGTTCTCTCCACACCAGGGGTCCCTGCCCCCCCGTGCCACTGCCAGCACCAGGACCCAGAGCAGGGCTGGCACTGGGAAGGTTCTCCCTGCAGCCAGAGCGCTCAAGAGGTTCCAGAGAGCCCCAGAAAGAGCTGGGAGCAAAGATGATCCAGGATTCATGGCAGGAGCAACACCAGACCTCATCATCACACACCAGGGTGGCAAGGGGGACCAAGAGCACCCCACTCCCTGCAAAAAGACTGGGGGGGCCACAGAGGGGCTGGGGGGTGTCCCAGCCTCCCACCTAAGCTCCCATCACGCAGCAATTACAATATAACATTAATAATATTATTACATTAAAATATTAATAAAAAGACCCCAGACTGACAGCCCCAGGGCAGAACTTGACAAATGTCCAAAAACCTTGGGAGCCACTTGTCCGCTCTTGCCACAGCAGCAAAATCCCCCTTGGGGCCATGGGGAGGGGGTTGCTGGGGGGTGGTTAGTGCAGCCCCCGGGTGAGGATGCTGCCCACCAGCGCCGTGTCCTGCAGCCTGTGCTCCAGCACTGCCTCCTCCAGCGCCAGGGAAACCTGGGAGGGAGAACAGGGGTGCTCAGCGCCGTGCTGCCACATCCCGGGATCGTGTCCCAGCGCTGTCACCAGCCCCTGCCCCACCACCCTGCAGTACCTTGGCCAGCCGGGCCTCCTTGGCCTTCTTGAGCTCGAGGACACCGCGGGACTCCAGGAGGGTGACAAGGGACAGACACTCGGCCTGGTCGATGGCGGGGAGCTGCTGGCGCCGGCACACCTGGCTGTAGGTGTCGTGGAGCTGGGGAGGGCAGGGGGGGTTAGACCACAGCAAAACCCCCAAGGGACACCCCAGGGACACCCTGAGAGGGTCCCACACCCACTCACCTTGCCCAGGGTCACCTCACGGGCGTGTGAGTGCCGGGCAAGCAGGAGCAGGGAGCAGAGCAGCAGCTTCTGCTGCAGAGGGAAGGTGTCCTGGGAGCCCCGGGACCCCGCTGCCAGCCGGTCCCCAAACACCTCCGAGAGCACCCGGGAGATGTGCAGGAGCCCCACGCGCTTGGGGACAGGGGACACCGGGGAGTCACCTGTGGGACAGAGAGAGGGGATGCCAGGGAGGTGAGGACAGGGAGAGAGGTGCCCCACAAAGGGAGCCCCGACTCCCACTGAGGTGACCCCAGAGGGTTTTGGCTCTGGCAGCAGGACTCACCCCCGGGCAGCGGCTTGAGCAGGGTCTGGCCTCGCACCTCCAGCTCCACAACCTCCACAGCACGCCTGGGGAGGGACAGCCCTGAGTGCCAGGCAGAGCTGGCACCCCTGGCACGGGCAGGGAAGCCACAGAGAGTCACAGGGACCAAGCTGGCCCTGGCAGCACCGGGTTTTGGGGCACACACTGACCTACAGACATCCAGGGCCTTGCGGGCATCACCAGACACTGCAGAGACCTTGCGGGCACAGAACTGGAGGGCAGCAGAGTCCAGGACGGGGTCACCTGCCACCTGTGAGGCACCAGGGCCATCAGTGCTGCCATCCACGTGGGCAGAGGACCCCGTGTCCCCCCACTCTGTGCTCCCCGTGTCCCCACCTGTCCCAGCCGCTCCTGCAGGATGAGGGTCAGCTGCTCCTTGGTGTAGGGTGGGAAGTGCAGCAGCTGGGGCCTGCCAGCCAGGCGGGCTCCCAGCCTGGCCAGGCTCCTGTCTGTCAGGTCCAGGGCATTGGCCAACCCTGCAGGGTGAGAGGAAGAGGAGGATGAGGGATGTTCTCCAAGGAAGGAGCAGGAGGAGACTGCAAAGTCTCCATCACCACCCCCAAAGGGTGCCCAGGGCAGTAGTGCACCCTCCTACACCCTGCACACTCACCCACGAGGACGAGCCTGGAGCTGGGCAGCTGGGGCCACTCAAAGAGGGTGTAGAGCACATCCTGGCCTTTGCTCTCCAGCTGGTCCAGCTCATCCAGCACCAGGAGGCTGTGGGAGAGCTCAGATCAACCCCTGCTCTGTCCCCTCACAGCACTCCAAGCAGGGAGAACAGAGCTGCTGCCAGCCTGCCTCTCCTGGCATCCAGGAGAATCCCACTCCACCCACCAGAGCCAGGGAACTCACACCATGGGCCCCTGGGCCGTCAGATGCTTCTCCAGGCTCCGGATACACTCCCGGCCAGTGGCCACGGGCAGCCCCAGCTGCTGAGCCAGGGCAGGGAAGACGCTGTGGGGGCTGCCCAGTGCCATGCAGTTCAGCACCACAGTCCTGCTGCCAGCCAGCTTGTCCTGTGAGGAACAGGAACGTTACACTGGCCCCATCCCAGTGCCCCACAGCAGCCCCACAGCATGGCCGTGGCACACACCTTGCAGTCGAGCAGAACACGGCTCAGACAGGCTGTTTTCCCAGTCCCAGGGGCTCCGGACACGTAGAGGCTGCCGGGACGGCGCCCCAGGACGTGTTCCAGCAGGAACTGCCGGAGCATCCCTGTCTCCTGCTCCCTGCCCTGCAGCCGCTCGGGCACAGCCGCATGCAGCACCTGCTTGGCCTGCTGGTAGCAGGTACCTGCACGGGGAGCAAGAGCACTCAGGGAGGGAGGAGACACTGCTGGGACCCCATCCCAACTGAGCATCATCCCCATGCATGTCCCCATCCCCATCTCTGCCTTCACACCTATCCCTAACTCCATACAGCCATCCCTAACCCTGGCTCCATCCCCATCCATGTCCCCATCCCCATCTCTGCCTTCATATCTATCCCTAGCTCCATATAGCCATCTCTAACCCTAGCTCCATCCCCATCCCCATCCTTTCCTCCACCCTCAACTCGACCCCTATCACCATCCCTATTCCCAGTCCTTATCCCTATCCCATCCCATCCATAACCCCATGTCCAGCCCTGCCCACACTCATAACCACATGCCCAGCCCTATCCACACTCACAACCCCATCCATAACCCCATGCCCAGCCCTATCCACACTCACAACCCCACACTCACCTTCCTGCCTGAAGAGCCGGCTGCGTGGCTGCTGCCCGCTGAGCCCCGAGCTCCGAGGGGTCTCTGGCCCCCCGCTCCGTGGGGGTGGCCCCGAGCCCTTGGGCTGCTCGGGGGAGGCCGAGGGGTCCCCAAAGAGGAGGCGACGGCCCCGGTTCTCCTTGCTGCGTTTGGCCGGGGAGCAAGGTAAGGCGTGGGGGACGTTGCACAGGTTGTCATCACCTGCGGGGACAACAAGCTGGTGGTGACAAAGGGCCACTCTCCCACTCTCCCTTTACGCTTCAGCCCCACCCAGAAACCCCGCGGGAGCAGCTTTTCCTCCCGAAACGGGGGTGAAACCGAAATGGGGGGACCGGGCGGAGGGACTCACCCAGGCGTTTGCGGGGGCTCAGGGGCTGCACTTTGGGGCTCAGGGGCTGCGCTGCGGTCCGGCCTGAACGTGTGTCCGGAGTGGCCTGGCCAGAGCCGGCGGGTTCCGAGGCTTTGGAACGCGGCGAGGGGCGCAGAGCACGGGAGTCGGGGTCGCTCTTGGCCGAGGGGGCAGCGAGGAGTCGGGCTCTCCTGGTGCGGGGGAAGTCGATGGTGGGCTGGCTCTTGCTGCTGGCCATGGCGGAGGCTACGGCTGCAGGAGAACCGCGGTCAGAGGGCGGGACCCCGGCCAGGTGAGATAGACCGCCAGCCCCGCGGGTCCCGGCCATCCCCTGCCTCCCCAGTCCCAGTCCCCACCGCGCTGCCCCCGTCTCTGGCCCCCCCGTCCCCCATGTCCCCCCATGTCCCCTCGGGTCCCCCCGCTGCCGCCACCGACCTTCTCGCGCCAAATCAGCCCCGGCTCCGCACTTCCCGCCACCAGGCCGAGCTGGCCCCGCCCCCTTCGCCCCATTGGCTGCTCAGCTGCCGCCGCCGCCAATCGTCGCGGCCGGAGGAAGAATCGCAACAGAGCAGCCAATCAGCGAGCGCAGCCTAGGCAGGGCGGAAGGCGCCGAGCGCGGGGCGCGGGGCATGCTGGGAGATGTGGTCTGCCTGCCGGTACTCAGCGCTCCCCGTGCCCCCACGGCCCGCACCCCCAACCCCGCCTTCCCCGCACCCCCAGTGACCCCAGTTCCTCCTATATCGCTTTTTTACCATCGCCCAGTCTTGTCTCTCCACGCTCCCCACCCTTCCTCCCAGTATTCCCCACCACGCTTCCCCCATGCTCCCAGCGCCCACACGTGCCAATCCCCCCTCCCCCTGCTCCCCCTACCCACAATCCTCATTCCCAGTGGTCCCAGTGCCACCAGTAACCCCGATCCTGCCTTCCTACTTCCTCTCTGTGCTCTCAATACCCTCCACCCTGTCTGCCGAAGTGCTCTGCTCCCAGCCCTTGGGGCATCACCTCCAAGAAAGAAAAGGGGTTCCTGGGAACCTCCCCCTTAGACAGTGTCCTTGATATCATTAATCACTTTATTACTTTTATTTAAATGTAATTTCCAGCTCCTCCAAATTCCTCTGTTCCCTTTAAAAAGGGCCCCTCGCTCCAGGAGGGGCAGAACCGTTTTGAACCTTTATTTAACCCAAAGGGCAGTGCTGGGGGAGGGGGCTCATTCTCCAGAGAAACCCCCCTACTCACCCCTCACCCACCTCGCTCCAGCCTCAGCAGGGGAAGGTCCATCATCATAGAAAAAAATCCCCTGAATGAGCCCCAAACCCGTCTGCAGGGGTGGCCCCCCTGCCCCCCGTGCCCTTCCTGCTATGGTACAAAGAGATCAGTAACTACGTTAGTGGGACCCCCGCCGTGGGGCTGGGACCACCCCAGGACAGGGAGTGTAAGGCAAAACATCACCGGCCCCCAGGGCCCCCCCACGTGCCCCCTGGTGTACCAGACCCAGCACAAAGAGCTCCCCCCACCATGTAATTAGTGTTTTCCTGTTAAAATGCTCAAGTTTGGGGAGAGTCAGCAGTGAGAGCCAGGGGAATCCCAGGGGAGCAGTGGTTATGAGGGGGGCACATGGGGGTGCCCCCCTGTGGGGTCAGAGAAAGGGAGTCCCCACCAGCTGTTGGGGTGTCCCTGCATGGTCCTACTCATGTTCCCCCCTGCCTCCACTGGCTCCTGTGCAAAAAAGCAATGGGCTGTGCTGGGATAACAGGGTTCCACCAGGATAACGAGGCTCTGCCGGCCTGTCCCTGCTTCCCCTCGCTCTGGGGGGTCTCACAGCATGTCCATCCCCTGCCTGACCCCAGCCCCCCTCCCTGAGCCCCCCTGGTCCCAACAGCCGGCACACGGCTCGGCCTCAAGTCCCGTGCCCGGCTCCCAGGCAGATCCCGACCCAGGATCCATGAGGAGGAATGAGGGATGGACCCATCCAGGCTTGCCATGAGGTCACCGACTCCTGGGGGGTGCATAGATGAGGCGGGGCTGGCAGAGCAGCACGCTGGACTGGGAGGGGGTCCACTTGTCCTGGGAAAACCGGCGAGGCTGGGAGTGTGTCATGCAGGATCCGGGGCGCTGGGAGCTGGGGGGGTCCGGCTGAGGAAGGGGAAGGAGCTCCATGTCTCTGCTCTGGAACAATCCACCTGCACAGCCCGCTTTCACCTGGGGATGGGGGGCAGAGGGGGAGCCCCACGCGTAGCTGGAAGAGAAGGAAGCCTGTTGGAAGTGGCAGCTCTGCAGAGCCGGATCCAGCACGTCTGCTTTCCCTCCTCCACACCCCCGCGCCAGCTGCCGGCCCCCCCCGACCTCCCCGCGGAGATCTGGAGCCTGGGATTTGTGCCTGGCAGCAGCCGCTGCAGCCGCACCGAGCTCGGGGCTTTTCAAACCCGCATTAAACATTCATGGCTCTAAAAATAAACGAGCATCCCATTCTCCCCGGAGTCTCCGCCGGGATCCGCAGCGCTGACGTGCAGCACCAAGGGCACTTTGAGCTCTGCCGGGTCCAAGCGCCGCTGCTCGGGGCTTATCCTGGGGTACACGGAGGGTCTGCGGCCCCCCAGCCCCTGCCCTGGCTGCAGGGTCCTTCGAGATCCCCTCCGGTGCCAAACGTGCTCAGCAAAGGCAGGAATGAGCTCTGCAGCATTTCCCAGCAGGCAAACCAGGAGCAGGTGGGATAGGGCATCCGCACAGCCCAAATTTCTGCCCTGCCCCACAGCACACAGAGCTGCCTTCAGGGCGTGGGACCCCTGGGAATGGGGCTCAGCACCCCCAGAATGCCAGCAGGGCCCAGGGCATGGCCACTGCACCACCCACCCTGTGCAGGGACAAACAGGACAGTGCCAGCCCCGAGGGCACAGGAGGGGAGAGGGAATTTGGGACACCCTCCTCACCTCTGTTTGTTTTGCTGGGGTAGATTCTCTGGAAGTATTTATATTCCTCTGGGGCTGGGAAGTCTTCCACGGGATGAAAGGAGTATTTGGATTCAAAGTCATCTGTGAAGAAATGGCAGAAGGGGCAGGTGAGGGAGAGGGGCTCTGGGGGAGCCTGGCCAAAGCCACAGGGCTCGGCTGCGAGGGGGGGTCCCACTCACCCAGGAATGCTCTGACGGTGGAGATGGAGTCCCGGTGCCCGTTCCGCACGGGCGGCGGTGGCGGCGGGGGCCCGGCCGGGGTCCGGGTGGGTGGCGGCGGGGGCTTCCCCCGGCTGGGGGGCTCGGCGGGGCCGTGCAGTCTGTAGGGGGGGGGGGGCGGGGGGGCGTCGCGCCCTCCGTTCCGCAGCATCGGCGGCGGGGGCGGCGGAGCTGCAGGGACAGCGGGGTCAGCCCGGCGCGGCATTCCCGGGGCAAACCCAGGGACATCCCCCGGAGCGTTCCAGGCCAGCTGCTGCGCCAGACCGCGGCCCAGGGATGCTCCTACGCGTGCCCGGAGATTTCCTGCTCGATCCTGACATCTGCATTCCTCATCCCTCCACCAGCTGCAGTGCAGGGACCACAGCAGGGACCACAGCCAGCCCTGCTGCCCCATGGCTCACCATCCATCCCAGGGGCTGTTCCAGCCCCACGCGCTCCCAGCCCACAGGGAGCACAGGTCACTCTGCACCAGAGGGGATCCCAGGAGCAGCTATGATCCAGAGAGTCCAAGGGCAGCAGCTCCACATGGAGCCAAGATGCTGCCTGCCAGGACTGGAAGCCACATCCGCAGTGTCACCAAGGCAGTGACAGGACCCACAGCCCCTCTGACCCACCTCTCACTCCTGCCCAGCCTCCCACAGAGGCTCCGTGGCAGTTCGTGCTCCTCATTAGCCTAATTACACTCGGGCTGACAGCGCAGATCCCCAGCTGTAGCTCTGAGGAGGGATTCTGGCAGGGCCAGAAGGACGGAGCGGCTTGGCAGGGGCCCAGGCAGGAGCTGCGGTCTGGACGGGGAGCCCAGGAGTGCACGGGGGGGCACCAGGGCACAGCCAACACCAGTCCCAGCCACGGGGACACACTCCCGAGGGCTGCACACGCAGGGAAAGGCTTCTCCCTGCTCTGCCACAGCTTTTTGCACCCTCCCAGTGACATTTAGGAAGCTCAGGGGAGCTATGCTCTCAAACATTCTCATCTCTCACCTCAGGACAGCATGGGCAGGAGTTGCCCAACCACAACCCATCGCCAGCACCACACTTGGAAGGAGCTGGATGGTCATGGGACATGGCCAAGGACATGTGTTAAACATGGCACTCCAACTCCTGCCCCAGCTCGGCCCCATCACCACATGCAGAAAACTCACTGTGCCCCGAGGCCAAGTCCTGCCTGTCACCCCCCACTCTGACCACCCCAGCCGTCCCCAGGCTCCGTGGAGCGAGCTGCTCTTACCTGCTCCACGGCTCGGGGGGTCTCTGGCCGGCGGCGGGGGGCGGCTGCTCTGCAGGGACGGGGAGGCAGCAGTGGGCGGCGGCGGTGCCAGACCCCGCAAGGGCCCGGGCGCCTTCCTGTGCAAGGAGTTGTGTCTCTGCGGCAGCTCCGGGGCCGACTCGCTGCTGGGGCTGGAGGGGCCGTTGGGAACACCGGGGGGTTGCCGGTAAGGGGGAGGTGGCGGGGCGAGAGACTGAGTGCCCGAGCGGAGGCTGACGGGGGAAGGAGGGGGCTTGATGGGCGGCGGGGCGGGGGGTCCGTCCCTGCTGCCGGGCAGGCGCTGTCCCGGGGTGGGCGGCAGCGGCTTCTCCCGGTTGTAGGGCGAGGCCTTGGCGTGCGCTGGAGGGGGGGCCGGGGGGGCGGCGGCGCGGCGTCCTGGCGGCGGGGGTGGCGGGGCCGAGGAGCTGTGCTTCATGCCGGTGCCACCGGCGGTGCCGGGCCGGGACAGGTCAGGCAGGGAGGGTCTCTGCGTGCGCGGCAGTTCCGGTGGGGACCCCCGGCTGCTGTCGGCATCGTCCTGAGGGCGGCTGTTGCTGGCCGGCACGGGGGGCCTGGGAGCAGCTGCTCGGGAGCCAGGGACTTGTAGTGTTTGTTTAGTGGAGCTGTCTGTGGGGAAGGAGAGAGCACAGTGAGGGGTTGGGCACAGCACGGGAGCAGTGCCCTGTCCCTGCACAGAGCCACGGCCAAGGAGGGCCAGGCCACAGGGACGGCTGTTTGGCACACGCAGGGAGCTGGCACTGAGCACAGCCACACACGGCTCCTCTCTCACCACTCTACCCTGTGGCCACCACAGAGAACACACAGTTCAGCAATACACGCAACTCCTGAGCCCTCCAAAAAATCTGTGTGTGGGGCTGAGGCTTGGGGAGGGCACAGCTGGCCTGAGCCACGCATGGGATGTGATTTGGGGTCCTGCCTCTTGGCAGCTGAAATCCCCAGGGATACACAATCAAATCCTCCACCCTTTCCTGCTCAGGGCCCTCCCCAGGGACCCCCACACAGACGACAGGCCAGTGGCCATTACCTGAGCTGTCCTTGGCTCCCACAGGTCTGAGCTTGGGAACGCCGCCTTGGAAGAGGCCGCCCTTGGGCTGGATGGCAGCTGAGCCGGAGCCGTAGCTGCTGCCGCCGCTGCCCTTGGGCTCTGAAAGGAGGGAGGCAAAGAGGTTAAGCCTGGAATTATCCGCTCCTCCAATGAGGAGCTGCTGGGAACCAGATGGGCAAGTGCCCTGAAGGGTACGGCGGCACCCAGCGTGGGGCCGGGAGCCTCCTGGGGACTCACTTTCCAGGATGGGTGCACTCCGGTCATTGATTTGGGTCACTTTCCTGAGCTTGGTCCCTTTACAGATGTCCTGCAGGAGGGCCCCGCGGCCCCGCTGCTCCTCTCGGCTCAGCTTGGGCGGTTCTGTGTTCGCCTGGAGAGGAGCAGCAGCTCAGCACCTCCCCAGGACCCCCCAGCACAGCAACATTCCCACCAGCCCAGCTCCTCATTCCCACCTCACAGAGCATCCCACCCCTGCCACAGCCAGCCTTCTCCAGGGGCAATTCCTCTGGCAAGTGGCCCCATGTGGGGACAGGCCACCTCCCAGCCCAGCGAGGTGACCCCTACCTGACTGAGGGTGGGGGGCGGCGGGGGGCCGGGGGGCG